CGTGTGTTCATGACGAAGAATTGCCATCAACATCATGTGTTGGTACTATGACCAAACGAAAATTACCTCGCAAACCTTTTAAAGACTTAGGGAATAGGGACTAATTAAAAAAAAAGAAGAAGTGGTGATTTGGATAGTAAGTGCAGTGAAATGGACCATTGAAATTGTGCGGCAGGCAATATATTACATTGAGGGAGACAAACACAAAAATATTTTTACCTGTTTTATAATAATTTGTATAATAATGTTGTTTTTATTGTAAACCTAAAATAAAGTTTTAATTATTGACATAAAGTATATTTTTTATTTACATTTAGCATAAATGTAATAGCTAAAGAAAAAGGCAGGAAATATAATAGCACTAGCGGCCGCCCGCGACTTCGTACGCTTGGATACCGTTTTACCCCCTTCATCTATCTTACGCGGTTTAGATTTTTTCATACAAATGTTTTTTCCCGCTAACTCCCGTTCCCGTGGTAATTTTGCAATATCATGTTGTAACTAAGCTTTATGTTTACTAAGGTACCTGCATGCCAAATTTCAAGCGTCTAACTTAAGTGGTTTAGATTTTTCATACAAAAGGATTTTCCCGCTAATTCCTGGTACCTTGGGAATTTCGGGAATTCCTTTCTTAGTGCACCTCTACGGTACCTAAACTACGTTCCTTCCAAATTTCAAGTGCCTACGTTTAGCCGTTTAGGCTGTGCGTCGATATGTCAGTCAGTCAGTCAGTCAGTTTCTCCTTTTATATATTTAGATTAGATAAATACACTTAAAACTAACTACCCTCATTATTGTCAGTAATAAACTAATGATGCTGTACTTTAATCTGCAAATAGATTAAGCAGTGGATGAAAAAAAGATTTTGTTATTGTTGTAGTTAAGAAAGTGATTAAATAACATAAACAAAATAATTAGTTAAGTAGGTACTTATAAGTTTCTAAGTAAGTAATTAAATTGAATATTTTTTCTCGTTTTTCGGCATAGTTATTTTAAATAGTGTTGGTGTTAATTATTTCCCATATTTTATAGACGTCTAAGTCAAAACTAAACTGAAATTATGATAATTTAAAATTTGAATTTTCGACGATTTTAAAAAAAATGTTTCGCACCTCTGGCCGTGTTATGCAGTATATAAAAAAATTGTAAATAATTTATAGAATAAATAAATGTCCCAAAAAGAATTAGGGCCAATTGTGAGAGCGGAGATATGATTTTTTTTCGATTTATCCCCATACAACATTTTGGAGAAAAAAAATTCTGGGTGCGCCAATAAAAACTATATGACATAGCGATGCTAATTATAATTTTTTTAAAGCATTTCCAAACATGTTCAAGCATAAAAGTCTACACTTTCGACATTTTGCATCGGATGTCTATGGAAGCCGAAATTCAGCCTACAGTGCGTCACTGCGAAGGGTTAGGTTGTTTGTTTGGCATATAGGTTACTTTGGCATGAAAACAATTAGGTTAAGATAAATATTTACAATACCTATTTGATATTTATAACTTAAAGTTCCGCTTTACAGAACGAAGCTTGAACTCGATTCGAATTCACATTACTGCTTCTGATAGGTCGTATTTAAATATTTTGACCAACACAGGGCAAAATTAATGGTATTTTTTGAGGTTATTAAGTGTCATCCATAAAATAACCGTGCCACATTACTCATTTGACTAGAATTTAAGACAATTAAAAACCCTATCTATATCATCATTACGTCACCACCCTCAATAAAACATAGCATTACATAAAATGTAATAAAAAGCAAATTAGAACACAAATCCTTCATTGCCACGTAAGAATCAATTAAACCAACAACAGTCGATTGAGTTTAATGTTTAATTACAGCGAATAAATATTTCCTCCGTGATCGATGACTCGACACTTTCGTGACGTGGATTTAGCATCGTATCTATTAATGGATCAATTGTAGCGTAATGCATACTAAAATAAACACTGTGGCATCTGTAGTTGTATATGTAGTGTGATGTACGTACAGTAACATCAAACTACTATCACACCTACGAGTATTTACATCTCTAAGGCTGAGTTGCACTGTTTAACTTTAACCTTAACTATGACGATAACCAGTGTTTTTTGTTTGAAATTTGACAGATGTTTGACGTTTGTTAAAGTTAAAGTAAGATGGTGCAATTCAGTCTTAATGTTTAACGTGATGTATCGCCGTGTGTTATTAACTGCACAGTGCACACTATACTTTCAGAATGTTTAAGAGACCAAATCAACGCATTTAATAAAATTCAAAGGGGCTACATTAAAATATTTAAGGAAACTATTGCAATTCATTAGTTTTCTAATGAAATAATGAAAAAAATAAGAAATACGAATAAAAAATATGTTACCGTCATTCTATGAGGGCTATTATAGTTGTAACAACCTACACGACAGAAGAAGAAAACATGAATCTCGCGTCTAAATGCAAAAAGTTTTCTTATTTTCAACCATGCACCTTTTCACCTTTTTCTTGGTGCCTTCTTACCATGTTCCTTCTGGCTTTAGCGTGTGTAATAATTTATCGAAGCAATCTTAATTAACAAATGATAGCGTAAATAGTACCTTGAAAGAATTATATTTATGCTTTTAACTTCATTCACGTAACGAAGGAAGTAAAAGTTGGTTTAACAATGAATCCGGTTGCCATTTGTGGGCCCGATAGATGCGGTAACTTATTAATTTTATGCTAATATTAATTAAGTTTTTAATTATAGTTGAAGTATCTAATCATCACTGATATTTGGCGTGATTATGACTGACAACTGGGTAGTTGTCGAGATGATTGTGTAAGATGTTGCATTTGGTTTTGAATATTTTGCACACTGTGCAAGTAGTTAAAATTTTATTGTAACTTCAGTTTTTTTTCATAATTTTCAGTCATTTTCTTTTCACAGCAGACGGTCGGTATCAACCCTAGTGTCAGACTACACAAAATAAACTTATCATTGTGGGAAATCATAAAGTGCTTATTAGAAAAAAAATACCTCCTGTTTACCTATGCAATTTAAAAGCTAAGTGCATATTGGATGAAAAAGTTTGTTATTTCCTTTACACTGTCAGACATTATTATAGCTTTAAGTTACTGCGCAAATGAAATTGTATTTTAAAAAGTTAAAGTTCATTACAGTTTTAACATCCATTATCAGAATAAATGCCAAAATCAAACTAACTTTACTTTTATTTCAAAATAAAATAAAAGCTCTCGTAACTATCAAACCCAGCAATTATAAAATTAATTACTATTCCTAAATGTAGATAATTGCCCAAACCGCATTTGTTATTTTTTTGTGAAATAAAATAAGTAAAAATGTTTCAAACAGTTGCTGACACCTGCTGCGCTGACATTTTACGCTGTGGAGCAATTTGACAACAGGTTTTGCGATTGATTCATTATTTTAGAAAATACTAGGTGACCTTAGTGCATTTATAGTATTTCTATGGGAAACTGCACTTGTATTATACCAGGTTTTGTTTTATTGAAGCGATATAATATCTTCGCCATTTAATAAAATTAATTAATTATAATTGATAATTCGAATACATCTTCAAGCAAACTAACACAACACAACTTTAAAAAGGCATTGAGGACTGTTTAACCCTCCCGTAGTGAGAGGGTGGAATTCCCTCACCCTGAGCACTCCTAGCCGTTATCACTCCTATCACTCACTCCTACACTGACTAGGGGTACTACTAACTAGTGAATCAAACACCGTCTTGAGGTCAACTGAATTCAACTTTATTCTTTCCTCGGTTATATATAAAGGGCGGGTATTTTTGAAGCGGCTATTGAGGATGCTCTTAATAAAACTTGTAACAGCAACAAAAAGGTCTTAGTTTGTGGAGATTTTAACGTCAATTTACTAGATAGCTCATCATCATATTCTGTAAGACTACTTTCCCTTTTTAAGTCATTTAATTTGTTTAGTCAATTTAAGGAACCAACTAGAATTACGAAAACCACAGCTACTTGTCTAGATAATATTTTCTCTAGCTGTGTCCCTGACAATAAAGCTGTCATACACAATCTTACGTCAGATCACTGTGGTATTAAAGTAGAATTTATTTGTAATAATTTGAATAATAAAAGTAATAAAAATGCAGGTTGAAAAACGAAGATCTACCATGTGTTGAGACTTATACTACCAATGAAGAGGAGAAGAAATCGAAACGAGCCTGTGCAACACAAATAACAGCGCCACTCGTCGAGACACTTCTGTACAGTTACAGTTCTATGTCACGTGTAACACGGGTACTTGCTTGGATATTAAGATTTGTAAACAATGTACGAAACACAAATGATACCAAGCGAGTATCGCACTTAACAACGTGTGATATAGAAAATGCTGAAAACGTAATTATTCGAACTGTACACAATTACCTTGCTGAGGACTTGACCCACTTACGTAAACAAAACAAGGTGTCGTCTTCAAGTAAACTTCTAACATTATGTCCTATTCTGGATAAACAAGGAATACTGAGAGTACAAGGAAGATTGGAACACGCAAACTTAGATCAATCACAGAAACACCCTGCAATTTTGCCAAACAACACCAAATTGACAGAACTGCTGATTGACCAAGCTCACCAGACCACTCTTCACGGCGGCGCCAGGCTGACACTCTCACATCTTCGAAACAAATACTGGATCTTGGGTGGACTGCGTACTGTCAAGAAACAACTTTTGAAATGTGTGAGATGCCACCGTTTCAAAACACAAAACAACGCACAACAAATGGCAGATTTACCCAGACCTCGAGTGACACCATCACGGCCATTCTCACATACAGGCGTTGACTTCACTGGACAAGTCGAAGTTAAGGCAAACAAGGGCAGAGGCATAAAAACCAACAAAGGGTACATAGCTATCTTCATTTGCCTATGTACTAAGGCAATCCATCTAGAGCTTGTATCCGACTTAAGCACTGCTGCCTTTCTCGCTGCTTTAAAACGACTATGTGCCCGAAGAGGAACACCAGGACATATGTACAGCGACAATGGCACCAACTTCGTGGGAGCAGCTAAAGCTTTGAAGAAGGATCGTGACCAAGCAATGAATTTGTACATAGACAATGAAGTCATAAGCAATTTGACAAACTGTGGGATTGAATGGCATTTCAACGCACCTTCATGGCCAACGGCTGGAGGACTCTGGGAGGCCGCAGTCAAGAGTATGAAACACCACCTCAAACGTATTCTTGGCGAACAAAAGTTAACGTTTGAAGAGTTCTCAACGTTACTTGCACAAATTGAGGCTTGTCTGAACTCCAGACCCTTGTTGGCACTTACAAACGATGTGGATGACCTGGATTGCCTTACCCCGGGACACTTTTTAGTCGGAGGCTCAGTGCTATCTCCACCACCCTCAATTGAAACTGAGGATTAACTACAACTAATAGATGGAAACAGACGGAAAGAATGCACAGAGACTTTTGGAAAAGGTGGTCTAAAGATTACCTCCAAACACTACAAACTCGTGGCAAATGGCAACATCCCACAAAGAATCTTGAAACAGGCGACGTAGTGCTTGTAAAGGATGACAACATACCACCTGCAAAATGGCTTCTGGGACGAGTCATAGACACGCATCCTGGAGCAGATGGCTACGTTCGTGTCGTCACTGTAAAAACAAAAACAAACAACATAAAACGACCAGTGACGAAACTATCTCGCCTGCCTATCGACAGCGAATCATCCGCAACTCAAGACTCGAACTCAAAACCAGATGATTCCAATGACAACAAACCAACGAAGGCGTTACGCCCTCGACCGCCTAAACGAACAATAAACAACGTATTCGCATCGTTGCTGATCTTCGTGATGTGTTTAGCGCCATCTACATCGAAGCTAGTAAACGTGACTCAACTGGACCCCACTAAACTGATTTATTTTGACAAAATCGCTGAGATGCAAATTGTTCAAGATGAATGGAGGCTAGTTGTGTATTACAACATGTCGACTTACTGGCAAAGTTTTAATAACATTGAGCGCTATGTCAGTCACCTCAACACTCTTTGTACAAAGGAAGCGTCCTTCGTAACAATATCTACACAATTCCAACACGAACTAAGGGAGCTGACACACTACAACGACATGCTACGATCGGAACATGGAAGACGTACTAAGCGAGGGCTTATCGACGGCGTAGGCTACATTGCGAACTCACTCTTTGGGGTCCTTGATGAGAGATTCGCTGAAAAATATGACAAGGACATCAAACTCGTTCATGACAACGAAAACCATCTTCTCAATCTTTACAAAGAACACACGTCGATAATCGAAGGCGAATACAATTTGTTAAAGAGAAATGAAGAAGTCATGAATACACAATTTGCTGTTATCAACAAACATCTGGCAGAAACGGAAGACCGGATACACCAGAGCCAAGACAATGCTATGTACATTACCGCTACTGCACTAGCAGCCAACATGATCCTTAATAATCTACGCCGCGTGCAACAAATGTTAATGGATTTGGTCACCGACGTGCGCAGTGGCAGGGTTGACACACATTTACTCAAGCCTGATGAGTTCGAAGATCAATTGAACATCATATCAGGCCAGGTGCCACAGGGCCTCTCACTACCATGCACCAACAGCTACAGTTGCACTAGGGAGATGTACAAGTTGTCAAGAGTTCACATCCGATTGACAGACAGCTTTATGATATTTGAAGTAAAGATACCTCTTATATCTACTGAACAATATGAATTGACGCGTGAAATACCAATTCATAACATAAAGGACAATACAATGATCAACATAGTGCCTACATCTGAATATTTCGCTGTGAGTCTCAGAAAAGATCTCTTAATGCCACTCGAATCAAGAGATTTATCTTCGTGCATACATTTACAAGAACATCAACTCATGTGTGCAATCAACCTACCGATTTACGACATCAAACTCGCTTTACAAATTACAAAGCGAGGTCAAAATCCAAAACGATGAGTTGTACGTTCCTGACTCGGGCATCAACAAACTATTGACTATCAATAGTAACATCACCTTCCATCCTGAGAGTCATGACGACCAACTAAAAACGCTAAAGGAAAGAATTGAAGGAGTAAAAAAGGAACAAGAAACGCTGAACTTCAAAGCAGATTCCCATGAATATCATCAATACGCAATGTATGGAATCTCAATCCTGGGAGCTGTATTGATTGGAGTTATTAGCGCGCTCAAGATTCTACAACGTGGACGAGCCACGGCAGCGCAACCTGACAACAGAGAAACCAACCGCAGTCACTCGGTCGTGGACAGCTGCATCGAGCTCAACGCCATCAGCACCAGGGTCGACGCGGCAACCTCTCCGTTCCCGGCTCGTGTTAACGATATTAAATAGTTTTTTTGTTTAATTACTTAAGTCTAATGTTATTTCTTTCTTGAGACGGCAGGATGTACGAGCAAGTACATAGCATATAAGTTGTTCAGTAAATCTGCTGACATAGCGCCTGCGCGCGCGACCTACTTTCTGTTCATTTTACTTCATTTTTATAACTTACTTACAATTCAGTGTAATAAACGCTCTCTACGGAATCGGTCACAGTTTTAATTACCACATCCCGTGACGTAGATAAAACTACAACTACATCCAACATCAACACTGTAGAGGCACACAAGACACACAGCCCCTACACCGTATGTAGACCTGTAACCATTAGTCGTCTAGAACGTTTTAAAATTAATCTTGAAAATAAATTGCATTTAGTCCCGTATGTGCAGGGAGACCCAGATGCTCTTTACAATAACCTTTTCGAATGTATTAAAACCGAACATGACAAAGTTTTTACGGTAAAGCCATTAAAACCAAATACCAAATGTAAGTTTAGTGACTGGGCTACTAAGGGAATATACAAAAGTCGAAATTGTTNAAATTAAAAGGTTATGTAGATGCAGATTGGGGGAATAATATTATTGACAGAAAGTCGTATACAGGTCTATGTTTTATGTTAGCTGGAAGTGTTATTTCATGGGAGTCTAGGAAGCAAAGAACGGTTGCTCTCTCAAGCACCGAAGCTGAGTATATGGGTATAGCTGAAGCCTGTAGGGAGGCTGTTTACTTAATTAATTTGTTGAAAGAGATTACAAATGAGACACATTACATCATTTCAATATTTAATGATAATCAAGGTGCACTTACTTTGTCAACAAATAATAATACTAATAACAAACGTACTAAACATATAGATATAAGGTACCATTACAGTAGAGATTGTGTTAGAAATGGAATTGTATCTTTAAAGTACTTGGCAACGGCTGAAATGCCGGCAGATCTTTTTACCAAATCATTAAGCAGTGTAAAGCATTACAACTTTGTAAAGTTATTGGGTATACAGGATGTAAAAATTGTTTAGTGTAACCTTTATTTTTATAAGTGGGGGTGTTATAATATCTTTGACTTATAATATCTATGACATGTATTGTCTGTGGTCTATAAAAATAAAGCGTCAGTGCGTTACCGAACCTACGTGTGTTTTAATATGACAAAGTACACAAAACGCATGATGCTATCCGATATCTCCAAACTATTTGACCCTTTGGGATGGTTGTCGCCAATCACTATCAAGGCGAAATTACTGTTTCAAGGTGCATGGTCGTCGGGGATTGGTTGGGATGACGTCATAGCGGATGACATACAAATCGAGTGGGGAAAATTGAGAGATGACTTAAAAAACATTGACAAGTTCGAAATACCTAGATGGATTGGAAATACGGAAAGGCCTATTCAATTACATGGGTTTTCGGACGCATCAGAAAAGGCTTTAGCATGTTCAGTATATGTTAAGTCTATAGATGACAATGGTCAAGTGATCATTAGGTTACTTGCCGCCAAAACAAAACTTGCACCAATCAAAAAGCCAGTCAGCTTACCACGTCTAGAACTCTGTGCATCCGTATTGTTGACAAAATTAGTACAGAAAATTATGACATCAATACCTACAAATATTCAATTACAAATATACGGATACACAGACAGCATGGTGGTTATTGGGTGGTTGCAAGGTGACATTACGCGTTGGAAGACGTTTGTTGCCAATCGCGTAAAGCAAATAACTGACGTCATGCCAGCATCTTGCTGGAGACACACAAAGTCCGAGGATAATGCGGCGGACTGTGCCACGAGAGGAATAGCACCTTCCCAGCTTACCAACAACTCATTGTGGTGGGAAGGCCCTGCATGGCTTAAAAATGACATCATGCCGGAGATGAAAATATGTGAAACTCCGAAAATTGACATGAAACGTAAACAAGCGCTGTCAGTTCAATTAATGACATCGCCCACTGTGCTTGACATCGTAAATAAGCATAGTTCATTGACACACGCCGTCCGAGTCATATGTTGGGTGTCACGTTTCATCGCGCGCACTCGACGCTCTGACGTAGTGACAAGCGAACACCTTACCTCAGATGAAATGCGAGCGGCGCTTCAGCTGATAGTGAAGGCCGTACAAGCACAGCATTTCAGCGAGGACATCTTACGACTCAAGGCCAAACAAAACCTTAAGCCAAAGAGTTCTATATTGACATTAAACCCATTTCTGGATGACAATGACATTTTGAGAGTTGGGGGAAGACTACAACAGTCAAAGTTATCATATGACAATAAGCATCCTATACTTATGCCCCATGACTCACACTTGACGCGTCTCATCATCAGCGAAGCCCACAAGGCCACGCTGCATGGTGGTGCATCGCTAACATTAGCCCACTGTCGTAACATGTACTGGATCGTAAGTGGCACCAGAGCGGTAAAAAAGCAAATAAGACAATGCACGAAGTGTCAGCGGTTTAACACACAAGGGCAGCATCAGCTGATGGCCGATCTACCCAAGCCGAGAGTGACACNAATAAGGAAAATGAATGCATTGGAGAAGCCAAGCAGGTTAATGGAGTATACAGGCTGAACATTGTGAAGTCGGAGAGGCTACTAGCAGGGATGGCAGTGGCTACCAGCAAGACTTGGCACAGGAGATTTGGTCACATAAATAACAATGATCTGAACACAATGAAAAATGGAGCAGTAGAGGGCTTGAATTTCCATAGCAAGGCAGAAATTGACAAAAGTAATTGCACAGTATGTTGCGAAGGAAAACAAACTAAATTACCTTTTCCTACTAGTTTGTCAAGAAGCACAGAGGTACTAAATTTAGTACATGCAGATCTTTGCGGCCCGATGGAGTCCAAGTCACTCGGAAATGCCAGATACTTTTTATTGTTAGTAGACGACTACAGTCGGATGGCTTTTGTATATTTTTTAAAGTCCAAGGATGAGACATTCACCAGCTTCAAGCACTTCAAGAACCTAGTGGAGAACCAAAAGTCAACAAAGATCAAGATCTTGAGAACTGACAACGGTGGTGAATTTTGTTCAGCAGTTATGGAGAATTATCTGAAGCAGTGCGGCATTATACATCAGAAAACAAACCCGTATACTCCACAGCAAAATGGGCTTTGTGAGAGATATAACAGATCCATCGTAGAGAAAGCCAGATGCCTGCTATTTGATGCCAAATTTGAAAAACACCTGTGGGCAGAGGCCGTTCACACGGCAGTGTACCTGAAAAATAGATCTCCAGCTGCGGGTCTCCATCAGAAAACACCATTTGAATTATGGACAGATAAAAAGCCAAATGTGAGCCATGTTAGAATCTTTGGCAGCGTGGCCATGACACACATCCCAAAAGAAAGACGTCTCAAATGGGACAGAAAGGCAAAGAAGCTTTATCTTATTGGGTATGCTGACAACATAAAAGGATACAGGCTGTATGATCCCCAGACACGCACAGTGACAGTAGCAAGAGATGTCATAGTAATGGAACAGGACAATGACAGTGAAACGTCACAGATTATAGTGCAAAGTGAGAATCAGGATTCAGTGGGGGAAGATCAGTCAAAATCTGTTCAGGATATATCAGGTTCTGACATTGACAGTCCAGAACAGACTGATGAACAAGATTTGACATTTGTGCCTGAAGAACAGTCCAGTTATTCAGATGACAGCTTTCATGACACATTGTCATCAGATGACAGAGATGTCTGTGCAGAAATGCAAAGCACCGACATGTCACAAAAGCGTATCAGGCGAAAACCAGATCGATACGGCTATGCTAACCTGTGTGCTGCTGAAGTTAACTTTGAAGAAGATTTATCTCTCAGTGATGCAGTCAGTGGACCAGAACGGGAGCAGTGGTTGAATGCAATCCAGGAGGAATTGCAGTCATTCNCGATTTTACAGGCTTTGTCGATGTAAAAGCAAATAAAGGGAGGGGTGTAAAAACACTCAAGGGCTACATAGCCGTCTTTGTCTGCTTTTCCACGAAAGCTGTACATTTAGAGCTCGTCGCTGACTTAAGTTCTGCATCATTCCTTGCAGCATTCAAGCGAATGTGTGCCCGTCGCGGAGTACCTAAACATATGTACTCTGACAACGGTACAAATTTTGTCGGCGCAGCTAAAGTCCTAACAAACGAGTTTAAAGAAGCATTGAAAGTAATCAATACTGAGTGCTTAAGTGACATAAACGACATGGGCGTGACATGGCACTTCAATGCCCCAGCCTGGCCCAGTGCTGGAGGTCTATGGGAGGCTGCTGTAAAAAGCGTCAAATTTCACCTCAAGCGGGTAATAGGAGAACAAAAATTGACATTTGACGAATTTTACACACTATTGACACAGATAGAGGCGTGCTTGAATTCAAGGCCGTTGTTTGCTCTGTCTGAAAATATCGAAGATGACATTATGACACCAGGTCACTTCTTGATCGGTGGACCGTTGCTAGCAGCACCACTATCTGATCCAGAAGAGCCCATGACTACGCATACTCGTTGGCAGTTGATCGAAAAAATGCGTAAGTCATTTTGGCATAAATGGTCAGCTGAGTACTTGCATCATCTGCAAAAACGCACTAAGTGGCATCTGGGCAGACCTAACTTACAAATTAATGACATTGTGTTGGTTAACGAGGACAACATGCCACCATCCAAGTGGGCATTGGCAAAAATTGTTGATGTTCATCCTGGTAGTGATGGGAATGTTCGCGTAGTGACATTAAAAACGAAAAATGGGATCATAAAACGCCCTATTGTTAAATTGACAAAGCTCCCTGTGCGACAAGAATGTGACAGTGACAATCATGACTCGATTAAGACTGACAGAAACGATGACAGCAAAACTACGTCACAAACTCAAAGTCGTAGTAGGAGAGCCAGGAAAAGGCCTAACCTTTTAGTAGCAGCACTCTTGTTGCTTATGACATTTATAACACCGACTGTTCAACAAATGAGTAACGTTACGACGATAGGGACTGACACTACTTTATACTTTGACAAAGTAGCTGACATGAGAGTAGTACAGGAGCAGTGGAAGATGATCGTCTTCTACAACATGACAAATTATTGGCAAAGCATGGCTGACATCAACAAATACGTAGAACACTTAAAAATAATTTGCCAAGATGACATAACTTTTAAACCTATACTCTCACAATTTGACCACGAATTAAACGAAATGACACATTATAATGACTTACTACAGACAAAAGCGACTAATCGTGTTAAAAGAGGTTTAGTTAATGCGATTGGGAATATAGCTAAGTCATTGTTTGGAGTACTTGATGACAAATTTGCTGAGCAGTACGAGAAAGATATTGAAGCCGTAAGAAACACGGAAAAATATCTGTTCAAAATGTTGAAAAACCAAACTTCGATACTGGAAGCTGAAAACAATATTTTGAAACGAAATGAAGTCGTCATGAATCAACATTTTTCATACATCAATCAGCTTTTGAAGAATCTGTCCCAAGAAGTGAATGACGTCAAATTAGCTAATGCACATCATCTCAAAATGTTGGACTCGAGACTAAGTACCTACAAGGGAACGGGGTCATTGATATCGGCCAAGGCTGCGTTCTAAAAGGTGACATATTTGGGTGAATATCCCAAACACGTTTTTTACGCGGCGGAGCTGAGAATCGATGGGAGAAATGTAACTAGAGCGATGATTTTTTTTCTGTATATAGTTTATACAGCATTTTACGCGATAGCAAAGTCTTCAGGACAATAGGTAATTATTTTATGTACTAAAAAAAATTTCAAAGACCCAAAATCTAATAGCGGTGGCGCGTCCTAACTCTATTTCTACTCATAAATTGTGTTATTCCTTCTTTCTCGGGGATTCTAGTAATTTAAAAGTAGTATAGCTATAAAATACATTAAATAAGACTTCCAAATGATATGAAAGAAATGTGATATTTCATATTTTAAGTGTTTTAAATAGCCTTTCAAAACTGTCCCACGAAAAAAAGCAATTACAGTGGCTCAATTTCGACACTCTCTTACTTCTCCAAAGAAGCTTTGAGAGACGTAGAGTTCTTCTTCCCTGCATCACTCAACTGTGTCCTCCTGATCGGGCTATAAAGACTTGCGACTTGTGGTATTGTTTTTCCAGCAGACCCGTAAATATTTGTATCAGCGGCACAGGAATACAAAATTTTTCAATTTCGCTGGCAAAAACCACGATCAAAATGTGACGTTAATCTTCAAATTTGCCAAATTATTTTTAGATTTTACTCAATAATGGTAATGAAATTCAAGAATCTATTTCATTAATGAACTACAAGAATATATGTCCGATGATTACTTTATATTTTTAAGCTTATTATATGAGCATAAATAATAGATACAGGACTTTGAAAATGAGTCTGCGGCAATTTTTTCGTAAAATGGTTGTGGGAGATGGGGCACTGTGAATTAAGCAAAAGAGTTTTAGTAAATCCGTTTCATTAATGGTCAACAACAAGGATCGACCTATCTTTCGCAGTTATTAAATAATCTCTGGGTGTTGCTTAAGATAGTAATTCATGCTTCCAAAATCTTAGAAATTCGCACGAAAATGTAAAATGGCTCTTAAGAGTTGCGTCTCAAACTAATTTAAAAATTATGAAATAGGCTGTCAATTGTCATTTGAACATTTCTTATTGTAGCGCCCAAAAATTGGTTTTGCCTCTTTGGCTGCATATTTTTTTATGCTTAACAAGGCAGGTATTTGAGCAACCACACAGATAATCCTAGTCAAACTTATTCGTGTCCATTTGCATAATTCCTCGTCAAAATTTTCCATCATTAATACACTCTAACTTTCGTTCATAAACCCAAGAAAAATCACCCATATCGCGTGCATTGGCCTTCAGACTTCCGTCGCACAACAATACCGTAAAAACCTCCATCCACAAGTTCAGCGTCCAAACAATCAGGGAAAAACTATGACGTAATCAGGTGAAACACCTAATTACTCACATCACATAACTATTGAATGAACTTTCGCTTTTGTTTTGAAACAATGCACTCTCTTCTAGTGTGGTAACACATGGCTTTTTACGGCGAAGTTCACACAGGCGGGTAAAGAACTTGGAACATGTGGGCAGATTAGCGATTGTGTTGGCCAATGGCTTCCTGAGTTTTTGACAATACGCGCCCGTTTCACTCTGTTTTAATGAGTATAAGTTGGTGCTAAATTACGAGTAGATTGCCCACACTCGGCTTCGTCGGCACGCGCACCGACGATCGCCAAATGACTAGAGTAGGTACCTACCTTCTTTACTCATCACTCTGCCCGGTGAAACTGGAAAAGCTCTTCAAGCTAACTTCAAAAAAAAAGTTAAATCTACTAAGCTATGTCCACGTCATCAAAAATTTTCAAGCTTTAAGTAAATACAGAGTCTAAGCTGCTTAGCCAGGAGCAATGAAGATACAAAATAGATGGACAGTTTGGTCTTTATGCAATCACTGAGCGATATAAGATTGACGCTCAATAGCTGCTATGGAAGCTGAAAAAATAGTTCGAATCCTTATGCCTAAGGCATGTGCCTTTAAAGAGCCTAGAGTCACTGAGAGACGACGTAGGGAGGAGAAATAAAAGATCCCAACGCCAATAGTCCAAATTGAATTACCAGCCCTAGCGTCCCTTAACGATGAAATAACCTAAGTAGTGTTTCGGACGAAAAAAATAATTATTCTATAAGTCTCTATCAATAAAAAAAAGTCTCTACCAAATAGAGGCTAAAGAGATTGATTTGTCTATTTGTATCTGTCTGATACTCCTGAGAATTATGATACTTCTAAAATAAAGATTTTTCTTACTCTCAAGTCTTCGTATCTATTCGTATATTTGTATTCAATAATGTATCACTCAAATCAGAAATCAATTATTCATCCAACGTCTACACTTGCAGGCTTTCTAGAAGACAGGTGACGGACAGTCACGAAATTCATAAGCTTTGTAATTATATCGTTCGGAAGAACGAGTTTATTAAGGAAATGTACTGGCTCGTACCAGTAATGTTCAATGTTTGTTTTCACTTTGGAATCTTTCAAATGTTTTTTGACTTTGAAACATTTTTCACTCATTTAAAAAATGAAACATTTTTATTGCAAGATATTAGCAACTAGCTTTCAGCCCGCGGCGCGGCGGCTTCGCCCGCGTGGAATTTTGTCTGTCACAGAAAAACATTATCGCGCGCGTCCCTGTTTCAAAAACCGGGATAAAAAGTATCCTATGTCCTTTCCCGGGACTCAAACTATCTCTATGCCTTTCATCAAAATCGGTTCAGTGGTTTAGACGTGAAAGCGAGACAGACAGACAGACAGAGGTACTTTCGCTAGAAAGTATAGATTTGTAAATACAATTTATTTACTAATCCCGTTAACCCCTCGTGGTAAGCTAAATAATTATGCTTGTGTTCACTACAATAGTCCTCCTAGTTCCTCGGATCACGAGTCCCTTCACCGTTCGGCTATCATGGTTCAATCGGTTGAAATAATTACAAAATATTTATTTTTAATAATAATGATCTAAAGTTTTTTTTATTACACTCATATTTTATTAAACACTCCTAAATAATTTCCTACTGGTTATGCCTTTCAAAATTTATATTGTACTGTTATTTGGATCACCAATCTATATTTAACGGATAAACAATTAATTACGTTGATAATTCCTAGTCCTCAAACAAGATCGCTTTATACTAGTAGGTGCATACAGTAAGGTTTTTACTAGCATTCGCTATTCGTCAGAAGGTTGAAACATTTTCTTTATTTGCTTCAAAATTCTGATGTAACTTTGCTGAAAATATATTGGATAGCACTTTAGACTATACAGGGTGTTAGGTAAATGGGTATATGAGCCGACACTAGCCCATGTTAACATGGGCATATAAAATATGGTATGGTGAAGTTAGAAAATTGATATCTTCATTTTAATAATTTTAATTTTCATACAAATCGGATTTTATACAATTTATTATGTATGAAAATTTAAAAAATTTAAATGATAATATCAAATTTCTGACTTCACCATACCATTTATATGCCCATGTTAACATGGGATAGTGTCGGCTCATATACCCATTTACCTAACACCCTGCATACTTACCAATAAACTGTTTTCCAATACCGACCCATTGGAGTTTAAAGAAACAGTGATACCGTGACCCTGCTGTATAAATAACTCTATTACCTACACGTTGTTTCTCATTTAAAATTCATATTCATTTATAATTAAAAGCCTTCATAAACACAGTTCGGCAATTACCGACGTCTGACTAATTGATGATTCACGACAAACAG